GGCTGGGCAATAGGGGGCATTTGGGTGCCACCCCACCAGTTTTAAAATGACATGATCAATCATGTCATGATTATGTAGGCTGGTCCAGTCCTCTACGCATATGTGCAGTTAGGCACCTTGGGGCAATCTCCTTACTTCCCCAATAGTGCATGCATAGTGGAAACGCTTGACCAGTTTGAATAATCGAAATAGCTACTTGTTTAAGTGGGCAGTGGTGCACCTATACTGATGCCCCAGCCCAGGTAAACAGCTGTTGGGAGGAAGGCGGAAGACAGGGGGCGCCATGTGCAGAGACATGCACTGGCCCCAGGCAGCCTGCAGAGCAACTCCAGCAGGTAAGTGGGGGAGAGGGGGATTGAAGCCCCTGTAGAGAGGGAGCTGGGCGAGGCTGGGGCTGCTGCCCAGCTGGGTGGGGCTTAGGGCTGGGGCTGCAATGTGCAGCCACAGGGCCCCAGTGGGGAGCAAGATGGGGCCATTGGGTGGCTCATCCAGGGGAGGGGGAGGGCCAGCTCCCCACTGCCGCATCCACCACAGAGGAGCCAGGGCACATTTCCCCTCCTTGGCTTCCCCATGCCATCCCCCTAGATGAGCTGCTGGGCTCTGATTGTCCCATGACCTGGCCCAGCCAGGGCTCCATTCATGGTGAATGGGGCCTTGGCCGGGCCGGGTTGTGGAATAATTAGAGCCCGGCGGCTCGTCCAGGGGTGCAGTGCTGGGCAGCCAAGGGGGGCCCATGGCACCCCAATCTTTGCACAGGACACAGGTGGGCTGCAGCTGCGAGCTGTGTTCTGCCTGCTCCATACCTCGCTGCTGCCTTTGAAAGCAGCACTGTGCAGTGAGGCGCAGCACAGTGTGGTGCCATGTGCCTCACTGCCTGGCCTGCCCAGTGATGGGACTTGCATGGCGCTACACCATGCCGCTTTCAAAGACAGCAGTGAGGTATGGAGCAGGCAAAGTGCAGCTTACAGCTGCAGTCCACCCATGCCCTGTGCAAAGATCAGGGGGCCGTGGGTCCCCCTTGGCTGCCCAGCACTGCACACCGGAGGAGACACTGGGCTCTTCCTGGGGATGACGTGGGGTGGGCACAGGAGTCCCGTGGGCTCCATTCCCTCTGGCCTGGCAGTGTAGCCAAGGCTGGACCAGTTCCAGGTCCCCCTGGGCGGTGCAGGGCTGGGGCCAGTGCAGGGTGGCGAATTTACAGGTACCGCCAGCGCTGGGCAATGACTCTGGGTGCAGAGGAAGGGAAGGGTGCAGTGGGCCCCAGCCCTGATCCCAGCCCCAGCTCTGCTCTGATCCTTGCCTGGTCCTAGCCCCATTTCCCCCCATGACCCTTCCCTGTCCCCCCATAGACTTTCCTGGGGCGGGGGGTGTGCGCGCATGTGCGCCTGTGTTCAGCCCCCTCCACCATTTTCTTTTCTCCCTCCACCTATGCCACCTGCCCCCCCGTCTCCAAGTTCACCAGCCGTGCCTGCCACTCACCCTCCTCTGGCTTCTATTTACTGCCTTTGCTCCACAGCCCAACGGAAGTGGGCCAGTATGCCAGAGCTGCATGCATGGCCCATGTGCCCATGCTGTGCAAAACAAAGGCAGGAGCTGGGCTGCCTCCATTGCATATGACCAGGAGGAGAAGGGGTGCTACATGTATGGTGGAGGGGAGCTAGGCTGCCCGTGCGGCATACATGGCTGGGGGGAGCACTGGGTTGCCAGTGTAGGAGGGAATGGCATCAGTGAGGTGGAGGGAGGTGGGGCAACCATGCAGCCAGTGGCCCCATGCAGTGGGACTGCATGTAACCCCTGCTGCCTAGAAGTTGCTTGGCTGTGCTCCATGGTATGGAAAGAATAAAGCAGTAGAGGAAGCCACATTAGATGGGAAATTTGGGAAGCCATATGGAGTGGGGAGAGCAGATATGAAGCCATCTGCACACCCTATCTCACTACCTTTCTCTACTCCACAAAACATTTAGTGTGACTGGTTTCCTTGCTTTTTGGGCCAGATTATTTTACTTTTATCTACAGAGCTCATCAGCCACATAAACAGCACTCTTCCTTACCCAGACCTGAGGAAGGCTGTCAGTAACAGGTGCAGAAAGTTCACGATGCTGTAGGAAACACTGATTTTTTCTGAATGTTTTGTGATACCCCTTCAGAATAGCCCTAGAGCACAATCTACTGCCCATGACTCCCTTCCAGTGGGAGGTCCAGAGGGGAATAAAGGAGGAGTTTTTTTCTCATGGCTGGATGGGATCTGTGAGATTGGAAGTCTATGGATCCATCGCCTCTACTTTATTTGGGCCTGTGCTGCAGTGCATTCTCCCACCAAACCTCTTAGTTGACCAAGCGCATAAGAGGTCACACAGGTACCACCTGGAAGTCCAGGGGGCAGTAGTTCTAAGGGAGCAGTAGCAGTTGTATGCAGTTTATTACTTAGAAGCTTAAGGTATTTTCCCCTTTCTGTTTGTTTTACAAAGGGAGTAGGAAGATGCATATGGACCTTTACAAGTAAAACATCAAGAAACTTTAACGACATTTAAAATCAACTATCAGAGTAGCCTCCAGTTGAAACAGAGATGTTTACATACCACAGCAATAAGGATGCAGCATAAATAACTAGAGAGAAAAAACACACAGCCACTGTTAAGAATCTCGCAATCGGGAAAAGCGTTGCTTCTATTACATGGAAAAGAATTCATTGACGAGATTCCCCGGCTGACTGCAACATTACATCTGCTGCTTTTGAAGACTGGAGGAATCCAAATGCTATTCTGTTTCAATGGAGGACGGACAGCTAAGAAGATGAGAGAGAACGATTTTACAGACTAGTAGCAGAGAGAGAAGGGTTATATTATGAATCGAGTTAAAGAACTACGAGACGTTACAGGAGAGAGGGAGGACTGCTCACCCTTAGGACACCACAATATAAAAGGAGGTATTGGTTTGTCTGAGAAAAGCTGCATTTGTAAACACCCCTCCTCCAGCCTGCCTGAGCTGGGGATCTGGGAATTTCCCATCACCCTGCCATTCAAACTCAGAGAGAAACAGTGTGAATTGTCAGGTGATCGAGCCTCTCCACATCATCGCCAGAAAAGACATTTCAGAGCTTGACAGACAAAAAAGCAGTCTCGCTGGAGACTCAGCATGTCTCTGCATGAAGACATTTGCTGGCCAAGAATAAAATTACCCAGTCACAATAAGGATAGGGGGAAGAGCTATTTATCATATTAAATATTAATTCAATTTCTCCTAAAAAGAAAATTGTTTGTTGCACAATCTTGTACAATGTGGATATTAAATGGATACTCACAACCTAAAACTCACACTTCTATCTGAAAAATGTGTACCCAGTACTGCTACATTCTTCAGGTGACTGTACCTGACAGAGAAACGCCCCCACAATCTATACCCTTTTTTGTGAATTTTGCCAGAACGCAGTTTATAGTTCATTTCTCTGCTTCTTGATTGATGTTTTGGACCCAGGTTCTGCATACTGACACAAACTTACTTTATAGATGTGCTTTAAGGAAGTTAAGGAACTATTTGCAGTACAAGGCTGTAAATATGCAAGTGTCCATAAGTATAGACATGCAATATTTCAAGCCAAAGTACTTTTTAAGAAAAAAAGGAAGTTAAAACCTTAATTCCATCACCCATGAAACTGGACACAGGAATACATTTTTCATTTCCTTTTCATGGAAAATCTTACCCATCACATTAATATTTCTCAAAGCCAAAGTAACTGTTGCACACTGTACATACAAAATGTTCTCAAAAGTCTAGGCAGGTGATGCTTCTGCTTCAGTTCATCAGTAACACAACTTTCAGTTGCACCGGGGACTGGTGCTTTAATGATGATGTAAATGAGGGTTGATGAGCTAAACAAGGGCTGTAAAGATTGGCTTTATCATGAGAAACATCTGGAAAGTGGATAATATCACAGTTTTTGTAAGAAGAATTTATAGTATTAAAAAAAGAAAACGTACCTACAATGTGATTAACAGTAGTCTCTGTGAACCACCACTGTGAACCATCCTGATATGAAGGATTCCAGGTCTACTGTATAGAACCACATTGCACACATTCCTGGGAGAAACTGCATTAATTAAAAGTTTGGTCATCTTTAAAGAGAGTTTTCACAAGTAAATGACTTCAGACCAGCACTGTCTATACATCTGTGTAGGTATTATATATTACGTAAATCTATTAACGTCCCAAATTTTTGTTCACTTTTATTGGGGAAAAGCAGGGCATCTTCTACAGTGTTATTGGACCCATAAGAATTTCTCCAGCCATACTTCTTGCCTAGCACCAATGGTCAAAGTCTTGCATCATAACTGTTTTTTTTCCTGAGGAAAAAGTTCCCTTCAGGAACCAACTCCTTGGCTGGACAGAGAAGGCACAAAGCAGTAGTGTGATACACTGCTCTCAAAGCACGAGCTCTCTTGGCACCTGCCTCCCAAGGAAGTAAGAAACCACAGGCTAGGAATAAAAAATGCCAAACTCCAGCAAGGCAGTGTCACACAGATGCACTAGGGCAATAGCCACATGTAATACCTATGTATTATTTGTACGACTAAATGTTAAGTATATTCATTTGGCAATCTGACTCAGTGGATAAGCCAAACACTTCTGATGCCTGTTTTGGCTAGAGAACCACATACACTTTTGGAAAGGCTTTGCTTAATATTCAATTTGCTATCTGAACAAAACCAGCATCACTGGAAAAAAACAACAACATAAGCATAGGGAATGCTTCACTATAAACACCCAAACCATTTTCCTTTCTGCCTATGGTTTAGATGCTCTAGTTTTGCCTTACACCATCAATGCTTTATACATTTCTTACGGGGTGCAAGACTGAAAGAGATGTCTGGGCCATCAAAGTCCAGCCTATCATGGGCAATCACTTCTGTTCAAGCTTCATCTTAAAATTAGTAAGATTGTTTGCTCTTTTTGCTTTTATTGCAAAGCTGTTCCAGAACTTCACTCTTCCAAGATTCGAAACCTTATTCTAATTTTCAGCCTCAATTTATGCAAAACCAATTTATAACCACTTCCTTTGGGGCAAACCTTCTCCTCTAATTTCTCTTTCTCTCTCATTTGCCCTCCTGATGTGCTTACAGACAGCAATCGTTATCTCTTTTCTTAGCCTTTGTTCAGTAAGGCTCAGCAAACCACCCTTTTCAGACTCCTTTCATCCACTTTTTGAGTTCATGTTTCCAAAAACATGGATAGACAGAACTGTCTGCAGACTTCCAGACAAGGTCTCATCAATGCCTTACAAAAGGGCATTAATGCTACTCTTCCTCTCTCAAAAATGCTTCTCCTGATCTATCCTAGGATCATATTTGTCTTTTTCACTGTAACATCACTTTGGTGGCTCATAGTTATCTTGTAATTGATACACAAGTTTTTCGCCTTCTCTGTCATTTCCAGTAGATGAATTCCAAGCTTACAGGAAAAATCATTGTTACTGGTTTCTAAACACAGGCCTTTGCACTTTGTACTATTCATTTTATTTCATTTCCCTCAATATAGAAAGGATGTGGACAAATTGGAGAGAGTCCAGAGGAGGGAAAAGAAAAATGGTGATGGGGCTGGGGGACATGACTTATGAAGAAAGACTGAGGGAACTGGGCTTACTCAGTTTAGAGAAGATAAGACTGAAGGGGGATTTAATATCAGCTGTCAACTACCTGCAGGGAGGTTTCAAAGGGGATGAAGCGAGACTGTTCTCAGTGGTGGTAGATGACAGAGCAAGGAGCAATGGTCTCAAGTTGCAACCAGGAAAGTTTTGGTTGGATATTAGGAAAAACTTTCTCACTAGGAGGGTAGTAAAACACTGGAACAGGTTACTCAGAGAGGCCGTGGACTCTCCATCTTTGGAGATGTTTAAGACCTGGCTAGACAAAACCTTGGCTGGGATGATCTAGTTGGGGATGCTTTGAGCAGGGGGTTGGACTAAATGACCTCCTGAGGTTCCTTCTAACCCTAATTTTCAATAAATCTATGATTATATATATAGTTATTCAACAGAATCTATATCACTTGTAACTGAGTGGTTCACAACCCATTTAGTCCACAGCAGGCTGCCAAATTATAAACAACCAGTGCAGATGCTTGCTGCAGCTTTTACTTCACGGGGTGCTGTTTCTCCAATCAGCTGAAGCCCCTCACCAGTCCCACACAGCTGATCAGACAAACAGCACCTTTTGAAATAAAAGCTGCACTGATCCCATTTAAGTCTGCTACAACCTCCAGCTGGTTTGACATCACTTAAATTTCCAACCCTAATTTAGTCAAACATGACCAGAGGGGTAATTAGTAGAGGTGCACTGATACACTGGTCCGATATTGGATCAGCACCGATATAAAGAAAATGTTCTGTATTGGAGATTGGCCCAATGTGGCCAATAATTTGTCTGATAAATGCCCATGTGTGTGCACAGCCACAGCACAGCGCATAGGCATAGCATGGAGAGCTGCGTGCAACTGGTAAGTCTGGTGTGGTGGGAAGGGAAGGAGTGGGGGGAGGGAGGAGGGGAGAGGGGCATGGGGGCACAAATCAAGGTCCCTGCAGTGAGGGAGGGTGTGGGGTTGGGGTTGGGATTGGGGCTGGGGCACAGGATGCCCAGTCAGAGATGGAGCAAACATGGGACAGAGGCATGGCTTGTTGGAGAGGGCATGGGAAGGAAGGGTGGGGAGGCTCCCACTGCTGTGCACGGATCATTCGGTGCTCATCTGGAGGCTCCCACGGCTGCCCGCTGCTCGTCTGTGGGGAGGGGAAGGGTAGAGGGCATGTGTCCCCGAATCTGGGCAGGGTGGGCTGGGGCTGGGCTCTTCCCAGCTGGGCAGATCCGGGGGCACGCCTCCCCTCCCTCACATGCCCTCCCAGACAAGGAGCAGGAGCAGCCGTGGGAGCCACCAGATGAACACCGGACGAGCCACATGCAGCACCAGGAGCCACCCCC